CAAAAACATTTATTTTGTTTTTATTACCTCAACCCTCCAAACAGAAACCACCCCAAACTGACCCCTAGTTCCCAACCCAGCCAGCCACAACACCGTGAATTCCTTAGGGAGGTGCCAGCCTCATCTTGAACTTCCCATGCTCCTGTTGGGGCTAAGAACACGCTTATCTCCCTGAGCCTGGCCTTCATAAGTCCATTCCAGCACAGTTTATTTGTTAAACTGAGACTTTGTGCAGCTTTTGTTATATTGCCTCCACTACAGTCTTCAGAATCTCTAGGCTTCACAATCTGGTTCCAGAGTCAGATTGAGACTTGGCCAAAGATTGTATGAGAAATATTCTAAAAGGAAAAGTAGCAAGTTTTGTTGTGATCAAACTGAAGATTTAACGTTGCAAGCTAGCTTCATCAAAAAGAAGCAAATTAGACCCACCTCTAGGGGCCACTACATCTGCTCCTCCATCCTTAGGCCCTTCTTTCAGACTCTTGATCTTGCTTTTCTTCCAGGCAGACCCCTTGAAATCCAGCACTCTTTTTCCAACACAAGACTTGGAAATAATAGGCTAACATTTCAGGTGAAGACCTCCTAAGCAAGAGGTGCAAGGAGTCCTATTTATTTATTTATCTATTTACAATCTTTGTATGCTGCCTACTTGAGCAACTCTAAAGCAGGATGCTGTGATTCCAGTTATTCATCCTTTTCATGGCATAATTGACAAAAGGAGAAGATTCATGGTATTTATTTGGCTTCTCCATAGAAACACAACGAGGACTTTGAGATGACATCATTCTGGCTGTCCAACACATGTCGCCTTCTGCATTGTCTGAAGCAATACAGCGGAGATACGGTGAGAAAATGATTGTAGCAGGGATGAGAGCCTTGTTGCTAAAAATATCTCTGATTCTCCCTAATGGTCATACAGTACGTCTGGAATTTCCAGACTGCAGTGAATATACGCCCATTCAGTTCAGTAGGACTTTTGCTACGAAGGTTGCTGCAATTTAGGCTTCTCATGTTAACACTGTCAACAAACTACCAGTGTTTCTCAACCTTAGCAACTTCAAGATATGTAGACTTCAACTCCCAGAATTCCCCAGCCAGCATGGCTGGCTGGGGTATTCTGGGAGTTGAAGTCCACATATCTTAAAGTTGCTAAGGTTGAGAAACAGTGAACTATACCATACTATTCCTACCTCTCCATGGATGGAAGAGTTGACCAAAGGAAACTAATTTGCTATTAGGACATATTTTTGCTTCTTATGGACCTTGGCTTGAAATTATAGCTGCTTGTTCCAGTTTGAGTTTCTGCTGATCTTGTTATTGAATTATAGAGCTGACTATTGGACTAAAAGCGTAACAAATAAGAACAACAACATGCTTTTAGACAGCGCCCAGAACAAGAAATCTGTGCACCTGTGCAGTTTCCTGGACATAAATCTTGTTGAACTCACTTCTGGGTGAGCAGTCATAGGAGCTCATTGTTAGTGGCAGACACCTTATCCCTCTTTGACCTGTTTTCATGAACTAATATCAAAATGAAAATAAGTCTGAGGCAGGAGGAGGTGATGAATGTCAGCTTTCCTTTCCTGCCTTCCTGTCTCTTTTCCACACTTCGTAGGTATAAAGCATTAATAAAAACAGATTTCACTCTAATACCTTGAAACCGTTCACTAACTTCTCTTTGTCACTTGGAGAGCTCTGGGTAGCAGACCCACCATATAGGAACCATCCATCTCAAACAAGTGATTGGAATCCATTCAAGCCTGTAACGACTTTTCAGACATCATAAGGATCTTTTTTTTCCCTGTAGCCATCCTGGAAGTGAACCTTAATTTATGGGTTTTTCTAGAATCTAGCCAAAAAGGTGCCAGTTGTCCTCAGAATGATCTCCACAGACCTTTGCTTTACATACCACCCTGATAGTATTTAGTGTTTTCCTCTACATAATTTTAATACAACCTGCTGTTACATTACCACCATCTGTTAATCTCCCTTTGCAGGGTTTTATGACCCAAAATACCACAAAGCAGAATGAACATTGTCTGAAGAACTTTGACCTCACTGAGTACCGTCAGGTCCTGAGCGATCTCTCTATCCAGATCTACCAGCAACTCATCAAAATTGCCGAAGGCGTCTTGCAGCCCATGATAGGTGAAAGGCATATTTAACTCAACCTAGTGGTACAACAAGGATTATCTACATTCTTCTCACTCCCTGGAACTGTGAAATTAAATCCATTAGATCCATATTCCTGTTTGGGGCTAAGATTGCAAACCACCCAGTTGCACAATTGCCATGAATAGTATTATTTCATAACCCATTCGTTTGAATTGGGTTTGCAGAGAAGAAGTCATAGGTGATCTGTAAACCAGCGTAGTGTCACGTTTTTGTACACAGAAATGCTTTTTGCAGCTATTCTTTGGGAAGAGTATGGGCAGAACATTTTATTGGACTTGAAAATCCATTTGGATCTGTTTCCAGAATCTGGAAGGCATCTGGGGTAGTTAATTGCATGAAAATCACTTCTGTGTCTCCTCTCCATTCCAAGACTCCATTCTAAGCCATCAGACTTACAACATTCGAAACAAATCTTCATAGTTTAGCATCTACATCTTTTTTTTTTTTAATCCAATTGTGTCCGATGCTCAGAAACTGCCTGGACGAGTCCCTGCAGTTTTCTTGGCAAGGTTTTTCAGAAGTGGTTTGCCCTTGCCTCCTTCCTGGGGCTGAGAGAGAGGGACTGGCCCAAGGTCACCCAGCTA